TGTGGGAAGTTCTGGGGCGTTACAGAAAGAGTAGAACTCAAGTCCCAAGAAAAGTCAGGAATTGCGCCAGGTGCATTTTCCCAACATAGTGTGTTTTCCATGTTTTGCATCAAAACTAAGGTAGGAGACAAGGAGGTTGAGTTTCATTAAATTGCTTGATAGTTAAAACCCCAAACAACAACATTTCACCATTATTTTCTTCCTAAATCACAATTGCATATTTGAACCATTTTACTGGATTACTTGATTTTGAAAAGCAACAAGTCCCTGAGGATTCGACCTTGGATTACTTCCAAGTATTACTTGTGACCGTGTGCACTTGCACGAGTCTCTAAATCTTTTTGAAGGTAGAGAAAATCCCAACAGAGAGCAATTGCACCATGACTAAAGAAGAAAATGGAGAAGAGGATGGTGAAGGGTACAAAGAATAAAAAAGAAAACGTATTCATGGCTTTGAGAGAGAAGATGAGAAAAGAAAAGGGACACGCCTTGCAAATTGGGACAAAGAAGAGATTTTTATCCACTCGATCAGTTTTGTTGCACACCCTTAATGTCGTAGTTAATGGCTGGTGAATAGTAGTAGCCCTATCAAATCTATCTTGGCTACTATTGATCTGGCTCCCAATTGGTTGTCACAAACTCCTTCATGGATCTCTCTCATGACATAGTTCCCTTTGTCCGAATCGAGGCTTCTAATGGCCGACCTTGCAACTTAGTTTCCAAGCCTCGGCCATGTCAGGTGGGACTTTTCCTCTGATGAACTCTTTGATCGGGTTCATCCAATTGAGTGTGTTAGGCTGCACATTGTTGAGAATTCTCTACCTCGATAGATTAGAGAAAGAATTAGACGCTACTTGATACTTTTCTAGAAATTGAGCTATACTCTTATCATGAACCACTTTTGGTTGTTTTAGAGCCTAGGATAACCTACTGTCATATGTCTATGCGTGATTACAATTCTAGAATATGATTATCAACTCATTTATATTTATGGGTTAGAGGACCTATGTCTAGGACCGTGGTTTATGCACTTATGTCTAAGTCACATCCCATATTAATTCCCTATTATTTTAATTAACTTAACCTTTTCAGTATTAGGTTTCAATGTTTAGATCAATTTCCTAGCGACCAACTTAAGAAATCGCTTGAGGAATTAACTAAGAAATGCTCCAGGCGCTACCTGGTTTTTCCGCCCGTGTTAAATTAAATAGATTTTTCTCAGACATTCCGCAGAGAGGTTGAAAACTAAATTAGTGCATAATTAAATAATGAAAAATGCTCAAAGAAATAAGAAAAATATTTTCCATTGATTGAATTTAAAGAATAACCAAGGTACAACTAGCACTGGCTTAACCTTCTTCTCTTTCGAGCTTGAAGGGGGTTAAAACTCGCTAGAAAAAGTTAAAGAAATGTAATAAACAAAACACAAATGAATTGAAACTTGAAATGAATTAAAACAAAGCTTAATAAAGGAATGCGATAAAAGACTAGGTTTGAAAAACAATAAAATGTAAAGAAATAAGAACAAACTAATTTTCGCTTCGAACTAAGACTAAAATGGAGTAAATTTGGTTGATGAATTGTACTGAAGAGACCCCGTCAATTTATAGGGTTTCAATTTATAAGGTTGGAGTAGGTTGAAACTTCTCACCAAAATAGGAGGAACTTGTTGCTTAAGCTTTGAAATTTGTTGAACAAACTTGATTCTTGTCCAAACGAAGTCGATTTTGACTGAGGCAACTGATTTGGGAAAAACCCCTTAAAAAGCGTCAGGCGCTACTTTCCTGCAGAATGGAAAATCATGAGTTTCTGCTATGTTTGACTACAAAATATCTTCTTTTATTACAAATCGTTCCACTTTGCATTTATCCAGAAATAATAAGCTTTTCTCACTATTTAACACTATTTAATCACTTTTCGAAAAATATGAGAGGAAATGAGTCGTTTTCATATCCAAACATACCTAGAAAATAAGTTTTACCATGAAAAGTCAAACTCATCACACATCCATCATCAGTTCAAACTAATTGATGGAGGTGATAAGACTTGATTTAAGGCTAAAAAAGGGTAGGTTTGCATGCTTAAGTAACTTATATTTGGGATGAAAATGTATGTTCATGCATATAATTTAGGAAAAATGTGCATAATTTGTGATTAGGGACTTTGGAATTCAGGTATAGGTAAATGAAGCTTAATTTGTGTAAATATGTTTATTTTGTAAGGAAAAATGAAGATTTATGATCACAATGCGTCAGGCACATTGCAAGGCCAGAATTTTTTCAGTTTCACAATGCTTCAGCCACATTCGATGCTAGATTGTCAAAACGGAAATAACAACTTTTGACCAAGTAATTGGTCCAAGATTTGGTTTTACTCCTAATATCTCTACAACAAGTGGTTGCCAACTTCCCTTGAATTTCTCAAATCCTTGTTACTTCCATGGCCTATAAAAGGAGCCTCCAAGCATCACTTYTACACACCTCATTTCCATGCCTTTGCTTTCCCTTTCTAAATTCTTGTCAACTTTAGCTTTTAAGTTTTAATTTCAGCTTTAAGTTTTGTTCTTCCTTTATTGTTTTTACAATTTTTCCTTGCTTATTTTATTGCAACTCTAGTTATTCTAATTTATGTTCTTCTTTCCCGATTCAATGAAAATGAATTCTTTTGTTATCTTCTTTTGCTATTGCATTTATTTTAATTCCATGAGTAGCTAAATTAATTTTTCCAACCCTCTTACGAATGACTTAGTTTCCATCATTTTAATTACATCTATCAGATAGCACGGCGTTTACGCTCAAATTGCTTATCTTGATTGAGTTAATTAATCTAGTTGATTTTANTACGCTCAAATTGCTTATCTTGATTGAGTTAATTAATCTAGTTGATTTTACTTGCTGGCCACTTGTTTAAATCACAACAGTTGAGTTTAATTCTGAAAAGGTTAGAATCAACGAAGTTCATCAAGATAAAATGGGAAGTTACTTAGACATAAGAACTTAAACAAGATCCTAGACATAGGCTCTCTTACCCATTAAACGTAAGTTGAAGTTTTAATTACTTAGGATTCTTCTAGTATTTTACAGACATGTTTTAAATACTGACTTAATCTTCTAAACAAACCAAAGCGGTATGGAATAGGAGTTGAACCAGTTTGCAATTAGAGAGTAAATTTAGTGTGAGATTCTAATAGGTGTAATTCATTTCTCTTCAAACTAGTCAGTAGTATGAGGGTTGGTTTCAAAATTCTATTTTATTAAATTATAAAACGTGCATTTCAACCAATCAATTATTTTTATTCCCAAACTCGATTGCTCATTCCAACAATTTTGCAAAATCAATTTTAAAGAAAAACTAGTCCCTATGGAGACGAACTTGGAATATTTACAGATTATTACTTGTGACAGTGTGCACTTGCACTCGTCCCTCTTGCTATTAAGCAGAGGCGCTACAATGGAGGGATCGTTAATTAGTACTTCTACTGGCATCGACAGTTTCGTAGGCCTATGCCAAGCGAGCTAATGCATCGACATTTGAATTTTAGGATTGAGGTACTTGACGAACGACATAATCCTTGAAATGGGCGAGGAGCTTTTCAAACCTTGTTCAAATATTGCCCCCTTCGACTATCTTTGGCTTGATATTGGTTGACTATGAGTTGAAAGTCGCTGAGGATGAGAAGATGACGGACTCTTATTCCTATGGCTACATGCAACCTCGCAAGCAACACCTCATACTTAACGCATTGTTTGAAGCTCGAAAGTTGAACCTTAGTGCATACTTGAAGCGGAGATCTCCCGAGCCGAGGAGCAGGAAGCTCGCTCTACAACCTTTCTTGCTTGATGAGCCATTGATATGTATAAAGTCCATTGGTCGCAAGTATCAGCCCCCGACCTAACTAGGGTCAGCTTAGTGATGAAGTCTTCCACTGCTTGACCGTTTTTAGTATTGTCCGAGGTTCAAAGTTTATGTCGTATTCATTCAATTACGATGCTCATTTTATGAGACGAGACTTGCCTCAAATGAAAGTTGGTCAGAACAGTTATCTGATGGGAAAAGTAGGGTCTTAGTCATCCAACTTTAGTAACTAAAGCTAAAGCAAGCTTTTCAATACACGGATACCGAGCTTTGGCGTCGCTCATGGACTTGCTGTGTAGTAAACTAGACTCTGCCGGTCTTCCTCTTCTCTAATAAGAGCAAAATGAACTGTTCTTTCCGAAACGGCTAAGTACAAATATAACTTATCACCCGACATTTCACTTTATTATGGCATAGGTGATCACTTATAATTAAATATCTTATAGTTAAATATTCTTTTAACCAATAATTCTTTCTAAATCGCTCCCAAAGCCTGCCTTGGGATATTTGATCTATAATTTTACTAAAAAATAAGAAAACATATTTTTTTAATATTAAAAGTTCTTAATCACATTATTAGTTATAATATAGTAATATTTTAATATCACATCAATACAAATTATAAAGAATTCTGATAATTAATTATCAGAAATATTCTTGTTGGTTACCAAGTTTATCTTAATTGAAAAGTAGTGCTCCACTGGTAAAAACTTCGGAAAACATTTAGAAGAAATTTGAATGGTACACATATTACTTATTGGGATCGAAATTATGTATTTAAGCCTAAAACATCAATACAAACTCTTTTTTCTTAATAACTTTTTTTTGGTAAGGTTGGAAAGGGATTGATTTGGTAACGTCTGGAATTGTGAATGAGAGAAATCTCGAAGAAATGCAAGAAATTGCCAACCTTACGCACTTTACATGTCATCCATTGCAAAAGAAGTGATGTAAGACATTTGATATGTGTTCAATGTTTCTCCTTCGTCATTGTCAATAAATACTTCACACTCTTACAATTTCTAAACAACAGCCTTTTTTGCATTTGGGTTTTCCATTTTTGCATATAAAGTTTAAGCTGCAAAAACCCAATGGGATTGAGGTCGGAGTCGGGGTCGGGGTCGGGATCGGGTGCAAGGATATGCAATGGCTTGCATGGTGCCAAACCCGCCATTCTAATGGTTGTGGTTCAGATGGTTTTTGCGGGGGTTAATGTTCTATACAAATTAGCTGTTAATGATGGAATGAGTTTGAAGATTATGATTGCTTTTCGTTTTATATTTGCCTCCATTTTCATCCTTCCTCTTGCCTTCTTTGTTGAAAGGTTTTTCTCCTTTTTTATTTCTCTTACATATAGTGTTCACTTCTATTATTATTAAATTGTTTTTTACCTTGTTCATTACAGAAATAAAAGGCCAAAGATGTCGTGGTCGATACTCTTATATGGATTTTTCTCAGGATTATTTGGGTAAGTAATTGAACGGAGAATATAATTAAATATATAAACATAAACCTAGTTCAACAATAAAAAATAATTGGAGTAAAGATCAATAACTTATAAAATCGTAATAAATATTTTATTTATTAAATATGTAAAGGTGAGAAGATAAATACTTTAACAGTAAAAGTTAATTATCGACAGTAATATTGTAATAGAAACACGATTTGGTGACGTGCAGGGGAACGTTGAGTCAAAATTTATACGTTCAGAGTCTGGCGATGACGTCAGCAACATTCGTGTCAGCCATGCAGAATCTGTGTCCAGCCATTACCTTCCTTCTCGCCCTCTCCTTCAGGTAAAAATAATAAATGCACTTCTCTGATAAGCTTTTGTTTTAACAAATGATTTTTTATTTTTTTTAAATCTATAATTTACAACATTTTAAAATTACTTTTTCCTATTAAATTCTAGCGTCACATTCAATTCCATTCAAATTAAATTCGCATGATGATATGAATTACTGATTTGTAAATTCTGAAGTAAATTGACACACATGAGTTGTTATTTTATGTGTCTCATATATTGAATTGTGTAAATTCAATTGACATGAAGGTAAAATTTGTGAATGACTTATATATCAATTTTGTTGGAACTCAAATGGATGAAATTGAATAGTTGACAAATTCATAAATTAGAGTGGTGTTTGGAATCTTGCTATAGAATAGCATTAATTAACGTAAGGAAAAAAAACCTTAAATGAAGGCTAAATATAAATTTAAATCTCTAATATTTGTTATATTTTTCAATCTTGTCTCCAATATTGTAAAGTTTTATGTTTGAATTTATTCACATTCTTATTATGACTAGACATTAAAACATGATATATACATAAAATTTAAAAAGGTTATCTAAACTGGTATTAATTGGTAGTATAATACGATTTTATTATAACGTCGATTCATTTCAAGTCAAGTAAGTACAAAGTAAAATAAACTAGTTAAATTGAATTTTTTATACCGTATAGATATGTTCATAATACAAATTAACAAAATACATTTTGATATCACATCCTCATTTTTGTTAATAAAAAATCAAATATACATGAATAATGAGATCGAGACTTTTAAATTAAAAAAAGGACTCACATACTTAGAGATTAAACTATATATTTAACTTATAAAAATAAATGAATTGTAAAAAAACATGTAAATATATGAGTAACTTTTTCCAAAACTTTAGAATAGTTTTGATTGATCTCAAGTCTACTTGGCTTTAGTAGAAGGTCTTTCTACTTTGGGAGAAGCCACCAAAACATTTTTTTTTTTGGAAAAAAAGAAAAGAGTTCAGATTTATTTCACTTTAAAAAGTAAGTGGGGACGAAAGAGAAGGGAAGACGGATGCCATTTTACATGTGATGTAAGCATCCACTACACATAACATATACCATAGGAACTCAATTCAGTTTTGGATTGAAAATGAAAAAACAGAAACTAACAAAGAAAAGCTAAAAGAGGTTAAAAATTGGATGACACGAAAATCTCCATTAACTCAACTCAAATCATTTTGGGTTGGATTATAAATTTATTTGGTTCCATTGGATTCAAATAAATGAAAATTCTATAGCTTAGTTTGGTTCAGTAGTTCACCTAAAGTAAATTTAGGTTGAATCGAACTAACTCGAATTTATTATTTATTTTAAAATGTTTTACTTACCATAAAATTAATGTTATTTTAATTTTATTCTATTCATTAATTCTTTATAAATGATTTATTCTCCAAAAATTTTGAAATGTAATTTTTAAATTTTTTGAATAATTTTTTTAATGTTAGAAAATATGTAAATAAATACTTAAGATATTAATATTAAAATAAAATATTTTATGATTAGATTAAATCGAGTTCATTATCTAATAAAGACCGTTTGAGTCGAATAAATATAAGTGACTTGGTCTGAAAGAGTCAACCAAATCTAATCCATGGAACGAGGCAATGAAATTAATATTATTGAAATTAATTTAATTGATAAAGGTTTTTAATATATATAGGATGGAAAAGTTGAACATAAGGAGGAGGGAAGGGGTGGCCAAAGTGTTGGGAACATTAGTGGGAATCGGTGGGGCCATGTTTCTCACTTTCTACAAAGGCTTCGAGATTCGCATTTGGACTACGCACGTTGACTTTCTCAATGATCGACACGTGGCACATGCTCCGGAAAACGCTCATAATTACAACCCATTGCTTGGATGTCTCTTGGCCGTCGCCAGCTGCGTCTCTTACTCTTTCTGGCTCATCCTCCAGGTTAATCGCCAAAACTTTTAACTGTTGAGTATTTCTTTTTTTTTTTTTTAGTTTTTATGTGTTAATATTTTTTAAATATATTTTTAGTGTTGGTAAATCTTAAAATCGACTTCTGATAAATTTACATGATTTGATTGTGATACTTATTGAATTTGTATAAATTTAGAGGAGAAATTATATTATAACATCGTATGAAAAAGTTTATAATTTCCCTTTATTTTAGTATTTGCTAAATACAAGAGATTAAATTGAATTTTTTCAAATATAAAGAATTAAGTTTAAAAAACAACGAAACATTAGGGACTAAAACATTTGGTCTTTAATCAATTAAGTTTTCAAAATATATTATATATTTCTAAACTTCAATTTGTGAATATTGTTCTATAAATAATGACTTGATATTGTTCAAAATGCGACTAAAATTTTACACGTATACAAGTGAGAGACAACATCTTTATTGATATAAGATCTTCTGAGTAGCAAAGGATAAAGGCTTATGCTGTGATACATCACTCCAAACAAAGAGAGGATATAATTATCCAGCTGCCACCATTGTGTTAAAATTCAGACATAATTGTAAAATTGTAATTAAAGTTTAGAAATTAAAAAGAGGCAAATTTTGATTGTGAACATGGATGATTTATTGAAGAGTTAAATTTATGGTTGCGGGTGCAGACAAAAATGACGGAAATATACCCGTGCCACTACTCGAGCACGGCGCTGATGTGCGTAATGGGAGCAATTCAGGGAGTGGCAATATCAATGTGCGTGGAGAGGGACTGGAAGCAATGGAAACTTGGCTGGAATATCAGGCTCCTCACAGTGGCATACGCCGTAATTTCAACTTTGTTTTCTCTTTCTTAATATTAGCCTGAAATTGAATTTATATTTATTTATAATTAATTAGTTACCGTGCACTCGGATGCAGGGAATCGTGGCTTCAGGAGCCGTAGTAGTGATAATGGCGTGGTGCGTACGCGCGAGAGGCCCGTTGTATGTTTCGGTTTTCAGCCCTCTCATGCTCCTGCTCGTAGCTATTGCAGGATCTCTCTGTCTCGACGAAAAATTACACCTTGGCAGGTACACTTTCCTAAACTGTAAATTTCATTTTTATATTTAATTTGTTAATTTTAACCATCTTAAATGTCACAAAAGGTTAATTCGTGTAAAGTTAAAAAGCATGATGATTCGAAAATATTTGGCTCATTAACAGTAATGATCAATCTTGTTTTCACTACCACTGAATGTTTGACAACTAAGTGAAAGAAATGTAAAAATTAATGAGTTGTCATTTTTTTTAGTGGGGGTGAGGATAAACTTTGATCCTCATTATTAATGAGCCAAATATTTTCAAATGATACAAGCCAATTCGAGTATAGTTTAGTTGATAAAATATCTATTGCTATATCAGAATTTAAAAAGTAACCATTTTTGTTCCTAAATATTCATAATGTCTATTTTAATTATGGTACTTTAAAAAAAAAAAAACAACTATTTTAGTCATGGTTAGATATTATTGTTCTACCTAAAATTTAGGTACTTAATACTCCGCTTAAATGCATGCTGTACTCACTCTAACTTGTTAGTACACATGTTATGATATTAATATGTTATAATCAAAATAAAAGCAAGGATAAGAAATGGTTACTTTTTTAAAATTCAACAACTAAAATAGACCTTTCAAAAATTTGAGAACCAATATAGAACAAACCTGAAAGGTTATTGACCAAAATAAAAATTTTTAAAATTTAGGGAGCACTTTTTTGAATAATTTTGATGTAGACCTTTATATTTATGTGACATTAATGAGTTTTGTTTGTGTTTGGAGTAAATTGCAGTGTAATTGGAGCAGTGTTGATTGTATGTGGTTTATACATGGTGTCGTGGGGCAAAAGCAAAGAGATGAACAGCAGTCTTCAATTAGCAACAGCTGAAAGCGTTGGGGAACTCGAATTAAAAGACGTTGTGGTTACGACTCCAAAGCCTCAAAATGACTGCCTCAAGAATAACAGCACCACTAGTACTTGAATAAAATGTTAAAGTTACACTAAATATATGTTTTAGTCCTAGAGTGTTTTTTCAATTTTATCTCCGATCTTTTAAAGTTTTAATTTCATATCTAATGTATCGTATTTTTAAGTTTGAAAGGAACTAATCCGTTGCTAAAACCTAAATTATTATCAATAAATCCATTTATGAACCTCAAAATTATTGATGGGATTGTAGTGGCTGGTTAAAAAGTAAGTTAAGTCGAGAGCTTGAAATTGCAACATTATAAAAATAGTAAGTTATCAAAATAAAGAGGTGACAAAATGATGTTTTTAATGTAGTTCTTCGATTTTTAACCTACTCTACGAGATCATGCCCAACAAATAAGATTAATATACCAAAAATTAGTAATTTAATTAATATTGACTTATGCATAAAAAAACTCCATTTTTCGAGGAGAAGCCGACGAAGAAGAAGTCGAACCTTACGTCTCACTGAGTTAGGGGAATATTCATTGCTGCTGAAGCTTCCTTACTCAATTGGCTACATTTCTTCTCTACCCATTCTTCTCTTTTATTTTGTTATGAACTAAACCGGGGGGATGAACTCACTGTAGCTCTCATCTATTTATGTTTTAGTAACTCATATGTATTTGTGATGATTTAATAGAGGTGTTTTTATTCTTTCATCTTACTAATTTTGTTTGGCCAACATTATTAGTTTGTTATGCTCACTTTAGGCTTGGGAAAGTCTGTGTTGTGTGTTTGCCTCTATTTGACTTAGATTTCTCTCTTTGAAGTAGAATGGTGAGTACTCAGGGATGAGACTCAACCTTTCGTGCCTATAAACCGTATGTATTGCTTGTTTAGTCTACAACGAGCCGTTAGGGTTAAACATGTTCTGGTATCTCGGGAGAGAGCCATATCTATTTGGGCATTCAACATTTTGAGTTTAGTAGTGTATAACTAGACGTGAGTTAGAGCATTAGAGTGATTCCCCCTCGATTTACCTTCATATCGCATCTTTTTTACATTTTCTGCTTGTTTTCCGTTTTCGGATGCACCAGAGCAGAATCGCATAATATTTATGTGTTTGTCAATTTACTGTTTTTATTAATTTCCTTTACAGCATCCATACAACTTTAATATTTTATTTTTAGTTTTGCTTTTTGGTATTATAATTTACTATTTCAAGTAAAATTGTAATCCCCGTGGAGACGACATTGTTTTTATACTACAACGGATTAGTTTGGTGCATACTTGCACCAATTTTCTCCTAGTTGTTGTTGGGTACTCTGTCCTAAAACTTGTAGTTTGTAAACAGTGAACATTAATGTGAGGTTATTCAGACAAGTGTTGTTAAATGAAAGTGAATTTGTTTTTTAATAAATCCAATAAACTACGAACCCTTGGCTATTATAATGAATACTTGGACTTTATGTGAAGACATAAACTGGATCAAGTTCAAGTAAATAGCCTAAACAGTCTATAGTACATGGATCAAGTTGGGTACCTTTTCCTGGAGACACTATTGAATACGGTCCGCTTTATGATTGTTACAAATGTTGTAAGGTGTCATAAACAAAGTGATCCTGATTAGTTCGTGTAGAAACATGTGAGCGGGGGTGTTCTACACAATGAGATTGTGTAAGACTGACCCTGAAATAATCACTGTTACGTATTAACACCGTTTACGGATAACACTGATTAATTTCGTTTATCGATGACCTAAATAACTTGATCTAAATCCTGAGCCATCTATGAACTCCTATTTATTCAGGATTCTCCGTTGATCTACATAGGTGAGAGTAAGCTCATCAGCGCTGCTCAATATGCCTCCCATTTCAGGGATAAGACTGGGTAGATAGCTGAGGACATAGAATTAGCAAGACGGAATTCACTCCTACCCAATTTAGGGATAGTAGAGAGGTTGTTCCCTTAAGGGCTGATCTCGGGTCTTGAACAAGGTGCCCCATCCTCTCACTGGCCCGAGAGGAATTGGATTTAGTGATTTGATCCTAAATCAATTGTTCATTAGAGGGATAGTGGTACTTAAAGAGAAAAGATGTAACTTAGGGGTAAAACGGTTTTTTTCGACCTAGCTGAGGTTACGAACGGCCTGTGAAGGATCAACTTACCGATCATGGTTATATCGGATGGACACAAATATATCTACAGTGAGGGGAGTGCATCTACAGGCTATAGGGGACAGTCTTGTTAGTTAACGAATGTTGATTAACTAAGTTAAAGAGTTTGACCGGTTAGTCTCGAATCGTTGGAGCCCATGATCTGTAGGTCCAACGGGTCTCCATTCTAGCTCATAAAGGATAAAATTGATGAACTAGGTGAAGCAAGAATTTGAAGTGTTCAAATTCGATTTTTAAGGAAATATTGTATTTTATATGAGATATAATATATAATCTAATTGATATTTAATTATTATGGAGACTATGACTTATTTAAATTAGTTTTAAATAAGTTCGAAGAATGAAAAAGAGTTGTAATTTGATTAATGTGATTAATCAACCTTAGGTGTCAAAGACCAATTAATATGAGATATTGATTTGGCTTGGTTTTTGTTTTAATAGAAAATTGATATTTCAATTTTTGTTTTTATAAAAATTAGTTTTATGAAAGTTTTATTTAAAAAATCAAGTTAGTGGAAAAATCCAACTTCAAAGTTGGATTTTCCCACTAACTAGTGGTTTTTGAAGTGTTTCTTCAAGACAATGACACCTATCTTTTACATGCTAGTGGAGTTTGAAGTGGAAGGCATGCAAGGCTTGTCTTTGCATGCATTTGGTCTTTATATAGGTGATGAAGATCACTTGGATAAGGCTAATGCTTCCTTGCATAAGTGCAGAATTTTTCCACTCAAATTTATATTGTCTTCTCCTAACCATTAGTATTTTCCCTTTGTTTTCACTCAAAATTCGGTCCCACAACCGTGTTCATCAACCCGAAGATAGCACGGATTTGTCGTTGGTGGTCCCATTAAGTTAGGAGAAGAAGTTATAGTGGAGCTCTTCAAAGGTATAAACACTTTCTCTTTACCTTTTTCATCATATTTTCAAGCATGCTTATTTTAGTTAAATTGCTTCATGAAGTGTATTATGATCCTTAGCTTCCGCTGTGCATGTCTAAGAGTTCCATCAGTTGTGAGGAAGCGAACAAGCGCCCAAGCTTTTCTGAGTGCGACTGATCAGTCCACCCTTACTCACGCTGAGGCCGAGCAAATTCAGGCGGAGAAACGCATTGCTCGAGAGGATGCATCGCGGGCATAGGAGAGAGCTGCTCACCAGCGTATTGAGTTAGATCGCGTCCAACGTCGAGCAGCTTCTACTGAGGCTACCTTGGTGAGTTGGAGGAGGATGTTCGGTCCCGCGTGGCCCAAACGATTGAGGCAAAGTCTCGTGCTCAAAAGGCTGAAGCGGCACGTAAGAAGGCCGAGGAGGATCTCGAGATGGCACGGGTGGAGGCAGCCTCTCGGGATAGTCGGATCGCGGACCTGGAGGTGGGCTTGACGGAAAATGAGGATAAATTGCTTAAAGCCGAGGAGGAGCAAGCACTGGTGGCGGCCGATTTGTCCTTGAGCAAAGAGGCTGAGGAGACTGCTCTGGATTCCTTGCACCAAGAATTCACTAAGGTCGCTAGTCTTGAAGTGGCTCTAGTTGAAGCTAAGGCCATCTTGGACGACCCGGAGCTTCTGGAGTCTCACTTCCGCAATACGGATGTTTTCCGTGCTTTTGAGCAGGAACTTCAGTGTACATGACTCGACTTTGAGCGGATTTACCTACAAGATCAGTGTCCTAAGTAATGAGGACGTGTTCTTGACGCCTTCGAGCCCTTTTAGTTGATGCCTGGTAACCGCGAGTCTGAGGAGCATATCCAACACCTCTCTCAGGGATACAGCTACCCTGATGCTTTGGACGCATCGACTCTCCAATTTGCGGTTCCTTCTTCTACTCCACCCTTTTAGGATTTATTATTTTTCTTGTGCTACTTTTGTTTTCCTTTTGCGTACGGGGCCTTATGTTTGTTGCCCTCATTTGTTGTTTGTAGCCTTTGCTTGTTCTTCATGAAAGACGAGACCCTTTGATATTACTGTTATTTTGCAATGTCTTCAATGGTTCCCTCCCCTAGTGACTTTCCTATCACCTTTGGGAGGAAAGTCACTGTTCACGCTTGGAGACTTACTTGGGATGTCCTTTAAATTTATCAAATATGTCCGAGTGGGAGCCCTAGTTGGCTGCTCTATTAGGGGAGATGCCTTAGAGTGTTCCTAAGAATAAAGGAATTCGTCCTAGTGGGAGCCCTTGTCGGCTGTTCCACTCAGGAAAATGCCTTGGAACATTAGTTATCCAAGAGCCTGCTCGTGGCTGAGTGATGCCACATGGGTTATCCGGACTCGG